ATGGAGTTTCAGTCGTGGTTGTAGGTCAAGGAATCCCTATACCGTACTGGGGGGAGGACGATGGGAGGTGTAGTTCTTCAAGTGCCATATGGGAAGGTGCCTCCGAGAGGGAGGAGCTCTCTTCCCACCAGTTTGCACGCGACCAAGTGGCCAACATTTATAGCGTTGTAGCCGGGAGACATTGATTGCGCAAGGCTTCCAAAAGCGCCGGTGAAATGTAGAACTCTGTACCCAAGCTTGTTTGCCTTCTGCGAGGCTGAGCAAGCAGGGACTCTTGTGTACACACACACACACACACGCACTGGCCCCCTTCGGTTTTGTTTGGTGCAGAGCTATGCCGCCTGGAACATTTTCTCCAGACTGGCAGTTGGGCTGAGGCTGCCCTGAAAAGATCTTTCCCAGCAGGGAAACGGTTACAGATCTCATATGACGTGAGCATGGGGCTGCCACCGCGCGCCGACAGGAGCTGGCACAATCCTGGCGTTCTTTGCTGGCGTGGCCAAGTCCTTTTAAATTTTTTTTCTCCCTCCCTTCTTTCCTTACAATTGCTTCAAAAATGGTTGCTTAATAATGCGGCCGCCCTTTCATTGCCCCGCTTGGCACCCGTACGGGTGGGGAAGGAGGGGCAGGCATGGAGAAGACGGGGTTCACGCCATACAAACAATGTCGGGGTCTCCTGCCGCGACTGATCCTTCGGGACGTGCCGAAGAAGGACAGTAGCCTGGCTTTGCCGTCCAACCCGCTCGAGCGCGCGTGTATCGGGGCAGCGGGGACTCTTCCACAGTGGTGCCGTTATACGGTGGAGGCCCGTGCACACCGCGTATGGGGGAACTGCAGCACAGCAAATGACCTTTCGGTGGTATGTGCAGCGTGACATCGCTGGCATGGTTTGTCTTTAGTGTCCTTGGACCGGGTGCTAGGTCTAGTAGCGTGCACAGTCCTGCATTTTCCGAGCGTGCCGGTGGGATGTCCCCTTCCCACGAACACGTGGAACAGTCCTCCAAGAAAACCTATTGGTTGTGTACACAGGTAGTCCTCGACTTAGGGCAGTTTGCTTAGCGACTTACAACAGCGGTGGGGGAAAACATGGCTTTCCCCCCCCACTTCTGACCCATTCCACATCCCCTTGGTCACATAATCAAAATTCAGAGCTTGGCAACTGACTCATCTTTGTGACGGTGGCTGTATCTCCCAAAAGCATGTGGGGTTTTGGTTTTTTTTGCGATCTCCTGACAAACGAATGAGGCTGGCAGATTCCTTTTAACAACCGGGCGGCCAACTGAGCGACGCCAGCGATTCGCTCAGCGACGGCAGCCCCCAAACTAGCTCTGCCGCTGCCTCGCTTAGCGACAGATAGTTTGGGGCTCGGTGGTGGTCGTATAAGTCAAGGATTACCTGTAGTGCTTCTCTCGAGTTAAAATCCGCACCTCGGAGCCTCTAGCGACTCCACGGAGGGCGGTGGTCTCCGTAGGATGAAGTTTGACCATGTTGTAGTTGGTTTTGCCTGAGAACGCTCACAAGAATCGAGCAAGTGCCATGCGGCACCAAGCGAGGCGCATGGGAGCAAACAACGGGGCTTCTGAAGAAATGGGGGGGCGGAGGAGGGACCTAGACTTGTGGGGCTGGCAGGCGGGGGACAGAGCTGACAAAGTCATTCTAGCCCTTTAAACCGGGACAAATTTTCCGGGGGAGGGAAGAGGCTGAGTCACTTGTGGCCGGAATTTACCCCACACATACGCTCCACCGATTTGGCAGGAACCCCGAACCTCGCGTGGTGGCCTGGTGTTGAAGGGGGGGGGAGGAGAAGTGGGGCGGGGGGGGGGTGGAGAGTGAGAAAGAGACACACGAGCGGAAAGGAGTTACGGGTTACATTTCTCCTAGTATGTCCCGGTTGCACATTAGTCGAGGGCACCGCTGCGTGAGTAAACACACTTCAGCAGGACGTGAAAGCACCACGCCTCTCACGTCCACCCCTTGTGTGCCAGGAGGTAAGGCCTTACCGCTGTCGGGGTGCGGAAGCAGGGAGGTGTGTAAGCAGAGGAGAGCGAGGGCACGGCGTGTGTGTCTGTATTGCGTCCGGACAAGGATCTTGTTCGTTCTTTTTCTTCCCTGTACTGCAAATGGGTTGCGGTTCAGGACACCCGGTCCTTGGAAGATTCCCATGCCGTTGGGTTGTCTGCGATTTAATTAGGCTCCCTCTTCGTCTGTGTGTGTGTGTGTGTGTGTGTGTTTGTGTCTCACCCTGTTTGATCCCCTTGGAGCGTGTCCAATTTGGATTGGGTAGTAGTGTGGGCCTTTGACCTGTGTTATGCTGTGCTGACACGGCGTGTTTGTTTTTAACTCTTTGGCCAGCCTTTGTGTGTGTGTGTGTGTGTGTGTGTGTGTGTGTGTGTGTGTCTCAAAGAGCAGGATTCACCCAAGGACACACAGACACATCTCTCTCTCTCTCTCTCTCTACCTGTTGTGGTTGTTGATATGGAAAGGTCTCATGACAGGTGTGATTCTTTTTGCCGGCGAATTCCCACAGAACGTTGTCGGTCCATTTCATGGGGGTTGTGAAGTTCCCGGCCGGCAGGTTCACAGATCAACATCGCAGCGAGGGCAACTCTGTGCCACATTGTGTTGAAATTGGTTGTGTGTTTGTCAGTCTCTTCCCCCCCCCCCCCCCCCGACCCCCGCCTCCCCCCCCACACCCCAAAAAAATCTTGGAACAATTTTTGTAATTTCAAGGCAGCTTTTGATCACTTGTGATCATTTTTTTTTTTGATGTGTTGTTGAGAGTACATTTCCCCCAATTTCTCCCTTCTTCCTGGTGGGATGGTTGGGAATTCTGGGGATTGTGTGTCCCCCCCCCCCCGCCCCCCCCCCTCTCTGGAGGTGGTGAGCTTGTGTTGACTTTTGGCCATCTTAAGGTGAATCTGTTCTCGGGTGAACGTCTGTGTTCAATTGGCGTGTTGGCGCACAGTCCTTCCCCTCCCAAAATACAGAGAGTCCTCGACATATGACAGTTCATTTAGCGACCGATGTTGCAACGGGGCTGAAAAAGGGACTTACGACCATTTTGATGACCGTTGTAGCATCGTGAGCAACATTCAGGCGCTGAAGCAACCTGGCTTGTATTTGTAACCTTTGCGGCGTCGTGTGATTCCGTTTTGCGACCTTCTGACAAGCGAATCGGGGGGTGGGTGGGCGAGACCAATTCACTCCACAAGCAGTGTTTCCCACTTAATGACCGCAGTGACCCCCTTAGCAACGGTGGCGAGGAAGATTGCGAAGCGGGGCAAAGTTCTCTCCACAGCTGTTCCGCTTAGCTTAGCTTCTGAAACCCTGTGCCCGATGGTGGTCGTAAGTCGAGGAGCTCTGTAACTGTCAGTGGCTTCGGTTTCTCTCTCTCCCTCTGATATTGATCGAGAGGGGACTTGGCAGAACGAGAAGGGGATTTCCCACCCTGCAGCTCGATCTATCAAGCTCGCCGAAGGGGCTTTCCTGTGCTGTAATTCCCGACCTTTGCCTGGCGCAGGCGCGCGCCTCAAACCCTTCGGGCGAGTTGCGTGTTTGTCAGGCTGACCTTTCGTGGAAAGGGGGAGGAGGAGGCGATCCACACAACTCCCAACCCCCCTGGTGCATCCCGCCGTCACCTTTCATGCATCATGTTCTCTGTATCTCCGTGCGACACCTACACCTACATAGTCTCGTGGGGGCGGGCTGAGAGAGAGAAAGAGAAGGGGGGGGGGAAGGAGGGAGGGAGGGAGAGAGAGAGGAAGAGAGGGAAGGGGGAGACGTAGAGAAAGAGAGAGGGGGAAGGAGGGAGGGAGGGAGAGAGAGAGGAAGAGAGGGAAGGAGGGAGACGTAGAGAAAGAGAGAGGGGGAAGGAGGGAGGGAGGGAGAGAGAGAGAGAGAGAGGGAAGGAGGGAGAGAGAAGGAAAGAAAGACAGAGAGAAAGAGAGGGAAGGAAGGAGGGAGGGAGGGAAAGAGAAAGAGAGAGGGAAAGAAGGAGGGGGAGAACAAGAGAGGGAAGGAGGAAAGAGACAGAGAAAGAGAGGGGGAAGGAGGGAGAAAGGGGGGGAAGGAGGGAGAGGGAAGGAGAGAAAGAGAGATGGAAGAAGGGAAGGAGAGAGAAAGAGAGGGAAGGAGTGGAGACAACAACTTGGTCCTCAATAACAAGAAGACCAAGGAGCTGATAGTGGACTATATAGAAGGAACAGACCAGACATCTAGCCCTTCCTTATCAAGGGAGACCGAGGGGAGCAAGTGGCCAGTTTTAAGTTTCTGGGTGTTACCCTAAAAGAGGACCTGACCTGGGGGGCTCACATTGCAGCCCTGGTCAAAAGGGCCCAGCAGAGATTAGACTACCTGAGG